TCGATTGAATGGATTAAAGCCATTTTTTGGATAAGTTAGATATTTAAATAGGTAAATCTGTAGAATGGATTAACAAAGTTTTAAATGGCAATTATGTAGGAAGTGGTACAGATTTAATTGGCCACTCTACACCCATTTCTTAGGTAAGTTAGATATTTAAATAGTCCAGAAGAAATAAGCACCTCATTTTAAGCACAAGTCTTCAGCAATTATCTCTCTCCATTATTTTTTCCATCTTTATTTTCTTCCAACAACTTCCCATCAAACGATTTCAGTTGTCAATTATCCTTGTCAATTGTCGAAAAACAACAGGAGACGTTGCAAACAATGCATGTGGGTGTGGAACTTGTCAAGGAAGCAATGGTGCAGACCTTGAAGAGTGAGTTCGAGGCTATCTGCATGAAGGACGGTGAGTCAATAGACGACTTTGCCATGAAGTTGACGACAATCGTCAATTGTATCCGTTCATTAGGTGACGTGGTGAAGGAGATCTCTGTCGTCAAGAAGTTCCATTAAGATGTTCCCCTAAGATTCATTCAGATTGTTACCTCCATGAGCCAAGAACATGTCGGTTGAAGAGGTCATTGCTTCTCTTAAGGTTCATGGGCAAATGTTTCTCAAGAACAAAAAAGCTGAAGAGAATAAAAGAGAAAAAGTACGAAAGATTTAGGATTTGACTTTGCTGAAAAATACTATACAAATGTTTCTCATTTAATTTGGCTATTTAAAACAAACTACATTCTAAAATTTGCCGAAGTAGCCAAAAAAAATCTTGCGCCTAAAGTTGGCTTTTAAGGAAACAGTGTGAATAACCTTAAAAAAAAAAAAACCATACTTTTTGTCTAACATACCTCATGTTCACGGATGACGAAGAGCCCACATTGACGTTGGTAGAGAAATTGTCCAACTTGTTGATGCTCAATGAAAAGAAGGTTATGGCGAACCTCTTCACAAATGGAGAAAAGTAAGTGGAGACCAGTATGTGGTACCTAGATAATGGAGCGAGCAACCACATAACTGAAGATCGAGCAAAGTTTAAAGAGCTTGATGAGAAGGATCTATCTTGTTCCAATGTAAGAACGACGATCAACATCTATTGACCATGGTTTCTTACATCTCGAGTTTAAAGAGAAATATTATTATCCTTGGTCAAATGAAAGAAGAAGGTATCAGAGTGGAGATACTTGGCCCGTTCTTCAAGATATACGATAGAAACGGATCCCTATTGATGAAGGTAAAACAGTCACGAAACCGCTTGTATTGAAAGACTATCAACATCTTCCAAAAGTATCTATTGTTGTTGGCAGCAATAAAGTAAAGAAGAAAACAATGAGTCAGGAGAAAAAGGAATCGAAGAATAGATCCAAGAAGAAACCAGAGGCTGCTTCAATCATCAAAGTGCAACCTACAAGTCAATGTTTTTCATCAGACTTATCATCTCAACCAAGGAGGCCTAGAGAAAAACCACGACGGCATAAGAGAAATGAGATTTCAAACTTGTCATCTCAACCAAAGAAACCTAGATATAGGCCTAAAAAGAAGGTTGAAAAACGGAATAAGTTACAAGAAGTTTTACATGTAAGTCTAATGATAAGTTTTCTACACAGAAGAGAGAAGTGGAAGAAATTGCATGTTGTAAAGTATATTTCTTCTAAAGAAGATAGAATTGACTAGAGACCAAACAAATTTGAAACTAGAGAGCAACATGCAGACATCCTCACTAAAACCCTAACAAGGGTTAACTTTGCAGACATGTGGGAGTTGCTCTAAGGGAAGAATTTCTAGTAAAGTTAAGCTTACCAGGAGAATGCAAGTTAATAAGTTTGAATTAGCAAAAAAAAATTATTAACTTTGAGCAATTTTAGGATAATTATTTAGTCCGAAAATGGTTAGTGGAGTTGTTAGAAGTGATTAATTTGAGGAGAAAGTTTGAAACTAATTGTGCCTTCTCCACTATAAATCCGCTCTATATGTATGCTCTTTACAAAACAACACAACAACAAATATGATTAAAAAGTTAAGTGTCTGAAGGTTCTTCTATTCAAAAGATCTATCCTCTCAAGTTGTTCTTTTTACTTCTTTTATTTGTTTCGACATATTTCGATCGTGTTCGGAAAAAGTTTAAAGAAAGAAAAAAGACTTCAAGAAAAGAAATAAGCCCGAGGATAAACTTTGTTTACTCAAGTATCACGTTCTTCCTTTCACTTTCACTTTCAGCTCCATTTAAGCAACAAAGACAATCACCATTAAAAATTAAAAGGAAAAAAAGGAAGTCTCTTCACTTATTTGCATCCAAGAAGGACCAAAAGAAAGTGTGATTAAAGGAAAGGATAACTTGAAAGGAAGATTTGAGAAGAAATGAAGTCTCAAGTTGGTCATATTGATTACGAAGTGTTGATTACAAGAAATGAAGCAACGATCGGTCTTGTCCGTTCATGTCTTATGACTAATTGTAGGACTTGGGCATAAGGATATGCAATGTGCAATATGACCTAAATGAGCATGAAGCTCAATAGCAAAGCCTAGGAACTTGAATGATGAAATGGTTTAGCCCGATTATATGATTTAGTACCTCTGCCATAAAAATTGTGACCCTATGATTTATTTGTTCATTTCATGAAGACTCTGGCATGACATGTATGGTTATTTTTATGATGAATGAGCATGATAATATGATCTATGTCTTGGTTCTCCCTAGAAGGGTTTGAAAATATATATATGCCCATTTGAATGCTTTGAATAGATGGTATGTGTTCTAGAATATACATATGATGAGCTTGTAAGCCTTAGCTACTCTTTTACTTTTTCTTGGTTCTTGAGCCATAATTAGGGTCCATATTGACTATTTTGGGTTGGCGCAACCCTAATCATTTACTTGCCTTGATTTGCCTCGACGGTTTCAAGTCTACTTGGTATTTAGGATTGCGACTGTCACTCAATCAGCCATCTTTCTTTTCTCGAACACATCCTTTGAGAATTGACTTATGTGTCGATCATCTCATCGAGTGTCCCAGAAATCCATCCATTTGGGTTCTCTTGAGCACCAAAATCTCTCGTGTCCATGCTAAACCATTTACGACATACTTTTCAAATAGCGGGTGCCGAATCCTACCTCCATGTGCCTAATCCTACCATCTCGTGCACCAAAAATTGAAAAATGTCCTTCTTTGGACCCAGATGTTACACTCTAAGTTTAGGGGAGCAACCCCATGTGCCAGTCACCTACTACGTCTACTTGTGTGGTCCCACGGCCTCTCTCAGGATAGGTTTACAACAAAATGGCCGTGTTCAGGAGACCCTTGCCCATTTCGATAAGGTGATGGCACGTAGTCAACTCGGCGTGATCCTTATTCAGCCTAAGCCTAGTTCGACAATACAACGCATATAAACCTACCACTTGGCATGAGTGTTGTTGATAATGTTGTCGGGCTACCAAAGAAGATAGGGGTTGAAGACTTTGGTGAAAATATTCATGCTTCTAATGGCCTTGAGAGCTACCTTAGTCTTCCCTAGGTCCCATAGTGGTTTACTAGGTTCTTAGAGCGTTTAGGCGGCTTAAAACACAAACTCTCAACTCTATGACTCTCTATTCCAACTCCTTGAAGCTTTTATAGTCTAGGAGCATTATGGTTTAGATTCCTAATCACCTCTCACAATTCTAAGGTACTCAATTTACTGGAGGTATCCTAACCTAGGTCATCATTTGGCGGCCTAACTTTAGTGTCCTAATCTTATCTCAATTCAAACATGTATCCTTATATGCATGATCAACAAGGAAATAACGTCTATCAATTACTTAAAGTGCATATCATAATATCTCATTCTCCTTTCTATTAGAGTGGTAAAATTATAATAGCATGCACCAGAAAATCTCATCTTAGGGGTATTTCTGTAATTTTCTACCATATATAAGGCATTCTCAACTAAAATGCTCTTTGATACCCTGTTCATGCTTATTCTATGCACCTAAGTAAGGATATGATAGCATGCTTGATCATCCTTGCATTTCCTACAAGTATTGCTCGAGGGGAAACGAAAGGTTACTTGAATAATACGTGTCTTCCTAAGCTGCCTTTTTCACTTACTACGAGCTCTAAGTTTCTGAAATTTTTCTAATAGGTCCTAATTCAAGTTAAATTAACACCATTATAAAATCTGAATGAAAAATAGTCAAACATGAAAAATTCACCTATGTGGGCATATCATGTGTGACTAAGGTAACCCACGTGTGGTTGCAATCACCAAAGTCAAGGAGCTAGGTTTGATGCAGGGTAGAACTCCGACTTTGTTAAATTTTATTTTCAGATTTCTTCATGGAAGTTATGTGAAATTTCTTCTTAAAATATTTTTGTCAAATTTTGGAACCTAAATCATTACGAAACGCATAGATCTAAACAAAAACTTAGACTATAGCTCAAAAGATTTTGGATGATCAAAGAGTCTAAATTAAATTTATTAAAGCTTCCAAGGAACTTTGGTCCAAAAATGACTTTCGTTCCTTTTCTTTCTCCTTTTGTTTTCTAATAAGATTATGTTTTTTGGTTGACTTTTACATTTTTTTTTTATTTTTATATTTCTCTCGAGTTTCTAGAAATTGTATAAGCATTTTTCCCTTCTATTACAATTTAAATCTCGACCTCGATTACAAATTAAAAAAAAAAATGAAAATTTCATACGTGTCGAGCTTGGAGTGTTACAAGTAGTTGTTCTAATGTTCAACCTTTTGATTTTGGAGAGAGAAAGTAATGAGACAGAAATTGTGAAGAAAATGTGTGGAAAGGGACATGTAATTAAGTTGAACAATTCAGCTTATTTTTAATAATCAAGTTCGTCAATGCCTTCCACCGTCCATGTCGTTAATGGAATTATATAATCTTGATTTCCTTAGCTGCCAACAACATCAACGAGAAGACTCCCCGTAATTGAACTCAACTTTTATATACTTGCACATTTCGTTTTTCTAGTTTTCGACTAGGCAACTCCATTGGTCTCTTCATCCATCACAACGCTTCCTTATCCATCTCGTCTGTAAGTTTAATACCAGTCTCGATTCGATATACTTTGTTTTGTTGTTGGTTGGTGGGATGAACGACAACATTTTAATTAGTTGAGTTAGTATCCAAGTTGATAACGTTTTTTCCCATCTCTAAATTTAATATTATTCTCGAACCCTTTCCATTGAGCCTAGAAATTAGAGGTGTTCAAAAAATTCGATAAACCCATCTCTAAGGTTTAAGGGCAATTTTTTAAGATATATATTAAAATTGAGTTGCAAATTTCAATTAAATGTTTAAAAATAGATATTTCACCAATAAAATTTTTATTTTTTTAACTCTAATAACTCAAACCAACAACTTCAACTCAACCCAATCACCCATCCATTTGGCTATTTTGGTTTTTAGTTTTAGGATTTTCAATTTATTTTAGTTTTGATTGAGAAAAATGTATGTTTAGTTAGGTGAGATTGGTTTTTGGCTTCTAAATTTTTAATTTTAATACTTTAAGCTAAAGTAAATTAAATATTTTTATTAACATGATTAGTAGAGGCTCTAGTTTTTAATCAATTTCTACCAACAAAAATAAATTTTTAAAAACTACAAGGTTGAAAACACTATTCAAAAAAATATCACGAAAGGGTTATTATTAAATGGGACATTAGTTATCAATCAATAATAAACATTGTTTTGCACAGGTGGCAGTTTTCTCGAAAAAGAATGAACGAAAGGTTGAAGGAAGTTGCATCTTCTGGAGATATTGACACCCTGTATTCGATACTTCAGGAAGATGCCTATATTTTAGAACGGATAGATCAGGTATGTTGTGAACTTTTGCATTTGAAATGAAAGAATTCATGGTGTTTGTATGATTTGACCATATATTAATTTGTGTTTGAACGACTCTAAGAGTGAGTTTTTAGACGTGAGAAGGAATGAGTTTTTAATGTCGATTCATTCAAGTATAGCTAAGTTGATTATACCCTAATTATCATCCCAATGGTTAATGGTTTAATCTTTCAACCTTATAATACCAATGGAGACGAGACCTAGAACTTCAAATAGGAGGCAACTCTTGACGTGAGGATTTTCTTTTGGGGTCTTTGGCTTTACTCCCCATGTATAATGCAATGTTTAGGCCCCCTAGTCGTCACTCAGGTCTTAAGAGGGCATTGTGTGCCTGCTCGAATTGATTCGATGAGGGTAACAAGACTAATTCTCTATTAGTCTCTTAGATAGATAAGATCCTTTATGAAAAGCTTTTTGCTTAGGTTTATCGGAGCTAATGAGCGCACGAGGAAGAAAAAAAAAAAAAAAAAAAACCTTCTATATCAAGAGATAGACTAGTACTTGGATCTAGTATGAAAAGCTTTTTGCTTAGGTTTTACCAGAGCTAATGAGTGAAAAAAAAAAAAAAAAAACCTTCTATTATCAAGAGATAGACTAAGGTACTTGGGTCTTGTAGTTGTAGAAGTAAGGTCTCAAACAAGTTATCCTGAATAGAGAAAATAGATACCTTTGTATGAAGTGTACACGAAAGAATTTGTGAAGAAACTCGGTCTGGTCAGTGTTTCCCTTCACTAGTCTACTCATTGTTTCAACCTCAATGGTTAACAACTAAACATGAGGGTTGTGCTTATTACAAGAATTAACCCAACACTTTACAACATGCACCACCTGTGTCCATGTTCCTAAAGGCACTCATCGCTTTCAAGAGAAGTTGGTACATGTTGAGCCATAGTAAGGTTATTCACTTTACATCAAATTAAGTCACATGTTTCACCATTTTTGTGAATGTGGGTAAATTCTCACTGAGTTTCATTCTTGCTAGACTACTTCCCCCAAATAGGATACTTAACACGTTAGCTATAACGTTGTACAGTTTGATACATACAGTGGCTAGTACTCAATGTTTTTTGGCTAGAACTACTAAGGTATCTAATCTCATTCATTTCCTTTACTATTTGGCTCTTCGTGTCAATGTTAGTCCAATAGAGTACTTTCACCATGGATAGTCTTTTTTTATCTTTACATATTCCATTGTCCACCAAAAATGTCTTCTTCCCCTACCATACTCCAGCTTGGTAGTTCCACCGTTTGTGAAGGGTTGAGCCTTGAAATTTGACAAGAGACTTAAAAAGCCACCTACAGGTACTTTACACACAATCATTATAGATAATACTTGTATCCTCTATATTATTGTAGCTACTAGCACACTTTTAGTCGTCGCTTATTTCCTAGATACCATTATTGCTTCCTCTCTCTCTCTCAGAAAATAAGTTTACAACTGGTAGGTTCTCTACATTACTCTGTCAAGTTTTTGCCTATTACAACAATTTTTTCACTACTACCTCTGGTAGAAGTTTAGGCAGTGTCATAGTTATAGTTGATCATACTCTTGGACGAGTTACTAATCATTGCCTTGGAAAGATATTGTCTCATCAACTAGCTAATCAAATGTGAGTCCTTCATCGAGAAGATTCTTCCTTTTGGTCTTCAGTGTAGGGTATTAGTAGTTACTTCGAGTTATTGTTCCCCTTCCAAAGGCAAGTTCTTACGTGCTAGTCACTCATTCGCTATTGAAAATATCATTTCTTGTCCGACTTGTATGTGTTAAGCATGTTGCTACTATTCATCCTGAGCCAGGGCCGAACTCTCCATGAGATTTATAATTACATTACCTATTGCTTCCTTGTTCATATATAAAGCTAATTCAGATTTATCTTTCATTACAAGTGTCAAAACCCGACTTTTGAGGCTTCGAAAGACCGAATCGTGACTAAAAAGACGAAATCGAAAATAAATAAAAATAAAATGGAAGGTAAAAATCCGGCAAAATTTAAAATAAGAAAAGGAAATTAAGGACACTAAAATTAAATATAAAATCAAAGTCAAATGTTACCAAATAAAAATTGCCAATATAAAATGAAATACAAAAGACTCTAAATATGAATACGAACAAAGGACTCTAAAAGACCGACAAGGAACTGACGCTCCGGAACGACACCCCTCTGTGACAGTGCAGCTCTCGAACACCACTCCCACCCACCTCGAACGGTACCTGAAAAAAAAAGGGAGAAAGGGGTGAGTATAAAAATATACTCAGTAAGCAACGTACTTGTAGGCTCTTTAAGCATTCTTATCTTGGTAGGTATCCACGGTCTCTCTTGGGTTTCTAAAGAGAGTGATCTAAGCTGCAACTCTCGTTTTTGTATCGTATGAGGCTTGCCCATCTTAAGCAGTGATATGATCAGTGTCCTGAGGTGGGGCGCGACCACATAAGTAAATCTGAGGGAATCGTATGGCTGGATCTGAATACGTAACTCTCTCTAAACATCATCCGTGGAGGTTAGCTGACGACCCTCACACGGGACCATACATCCACTAAACGGGGTGCAACCCCCTGTGTGCCGGTCAGCTAATGAGTCATCCTATGTGGCTCTACGTCCCCCGCTCAGGGACAGGTTTCTACGGCCCAAGAGTCCTATTCAGAAGACCCCTTAGCTATCACCACTAGGGCTGGGCACCTGTCACACTTCCCTATCCGAATCTGTCAAGCTCAACGATCTCCGTACTGAAGATCTGTCTCAATGGTATGGTATCGGAGCAGAGAGGGAAGTGGAGGTTCTGATGACACTATCCACACTGCTCAACTCTAGCGGGCTACCTATAGTTACCGTGGTGACCTATTATTCTTTCTAGGGTGGAGAACTTGGTGGTTTAGACTTGGATTCTTGTATCTCTAGGATTCTCGTGCCTAGTCTCACAAACCTATCGGGTTTGGAATTCTAGGCTCTGGATCCTCCGGTAATCATTTCGTGGGCCTAATTGCACGGTATTCTAGAAGTCTCCCATTCTAGGGTCTCATCAAGCCTACTTAGTCACAAGCACTCTAATCTAAGCTCGTAATTTCTTCCTATTCATCAAGAAAGATAACACAGCAATCATCATGCATAAGAGTTAACACGCAGTAGTTCATGATATATTAACAAACATGCTCAACGGGAAAATAACGTCCATCTTTACCCGGAGCGCAGATTTCACAAGTTTTCCATCCTTCTCATGCATACATACTTTATCATAATCTCAATAAAACAGATTTAATAAACATTACAGATCTAGCTTTCCTTAATCACTTCATTTTCACAGTTTCAATACTAATATACTAGGTCCGGCTAGCCAAGTTAATGAGTGGTAGCTTGCATGCTTGTTCCTAGCGGTTCCTACAAGTACTGCTCGTGAAAATCCAAATGGCTACTTATGGTTGACGCGTGCCTTCCTAAGCTCGAATTATTTGCCGGAAAAGATTCCAAAAATTCTAAAATTTCTTTGATAGGACCTAATTTACATAATAATAGGATTGGAGTTGAAATCGGGCGGAAAACAAGCAAACGAAGGTCAAACGGGTGAGAGATTGGGGTCCCACTCGCCATGCACGCGCCAGCAGGTTCCCCACGCGCGGGCAGTGCCGCGTTTCGAACCCCAGCGGCCGCGGTCTTACCTTCAAATTTTATGAGCACGACACGTGGCGCACAGTGATTGGCGGAAAAAGTCGGGTTGGATCGCGGGTTTCCGGACCGGTTTGACGGGCATACGAGTCGACCCGAGTCAGCCCACCAGTGGAACGCTGCCACGTGATGCACGTCTGCTCCGCCGCGCTCTTCCGTTAGCCGGTCGACGCGTGGCGGTCTCTTTCTCTCTCTTGCGTGTTTCAAATTTTCAGATGTTGTTTTCGCGTTTTCGATCTATTTTCTTCGGATTTTCTTATCTTTCAATCTGTAATTCATATCAACAAGGTTTCTTCACGAAAAATTGTAGATCTCACATTCTACTTCTACTATATATTTTTTTCTTTATTTTTTTCTTGAACACAGGATGAGTTAAGGCCGTCCAAAGATACGAAAAAACTCACATTTTCTGTTTTCGATTGGTTTACTCAAAGTCCTACTCAACTCCAATTTTCGTCCTATTCTAGTCCAGGAAGTTCAATAAATCTGTGTGAATCTTATTTTAGTTAAATACTTCAAAAACTACAGATCTAATGCTTAAGAAACTCCTCAGATCTAGATAAAATCGAAACAAGAAGTTTGGAACCTTACTTTGTCCGTTCTCGAATTTTTTTGCCGGAATGAGTGAATCCACCACCCAAACTCCTTTTCCAGCACCGAAAAAGTATTGCTTTGAAGTTTCTTTCCTTGGATTTGATCTCCAATGGCTATTTGTTATCTCTATTCTTCCTCTCTCCAAACCCTAACTTCTTCTTCTTTCTCGTTCCTCTCTCTCTTATTAGAGCCCAAACAATTAGACCCCTTGCGTAAGAGTAGGGGCAAAATGTCTCTTTTGCCCCTATGTTAGTTATTTTTATTTTTTATTTATTTATATAAAAATTTGTGTATTAGCATAACCTATGTCCGCACACTTCATATTCATTTGGAGTTTTCTCCAAAAAGTATAGTCATCCTCACTCCCTCTTGTCAATTCTAAGAGTCTCTTATCCATTCTCATTCGATCAATAAAGGGGACACATAAAAATAAAGGAAATAGACATTTGGTCTAGAGATAACTAGGCTTTAAACTATCATTGCACTTGAAGGGGACTTATTCACAAGATTCCAATTCAACAAAGGAAGAAAAACCTTAGCATCAAAGAGAGGAAAAAGTATATTAAGATGGGAAATATTTGATTTCTATTCTATATCTCTCGTTTGAATTTCGTTTATGGTGTGATGAATACTTAATTTGTCTTAACTAGGTACTACACTTTGTCTTTGATACACTGCATTCATGATGAGTACGACTTCAAAATGAGTCCAAAAAAATTTGATATGAAAAAAGAAACGATTTATTGCTAGTGATCTATGAAGGTGACTAGTTTGCCAAAGCCGTGAGTTTATGAACAGCTAAATGAATGAGCCATGTTTCTAAAATGTGTGTCCTCTTTTTTTTTCCTTCTCTATCCTTTAAAGCCCATAAGTTAGGCCTCACGTTTGACTAAGAGTTTCAAAAGTCTGGCTCTTCAGATGAGCAATGCTCCAAGCCTACTCTTCTCAGACCCTCAAATCTTTTTTTTTTTTTTTATGTAAAACCTACTTTATTTAGATCGAAAAAAATCGTATAATTTTATGACACTGTGTTCTATGACTTGAATCCCTAATCACTCTGGAATATCCCTCTTATAACATAATGTTGCTATATCTCTATTTTTCATAACTTGATTTTTTAGGGTTCAAATCACCAATAGTGACTACAAAAATAGTGCAAAAGCAAACAAATGAAAACAAAAGTAGTAAATATATGGTAAAATTTCATGTGAATGAAGTCCATACAATACCATAGAAAAAATTTGTTCAAGTTATCTACCAATGAAAAATGGAAACGAGATACAAAAATGTGTTCAAATGAGCACCACTGAAAATACATGCTAACAAATGCTCTGGGTTGACACCAATTTGTGACAACGTAGTTTCCAAGCACCATGCCACCTCGACCAAAAATAAAAGGAATTAGATCCAACAAGAATAAGCCACCCATGTAAGACCCAAATGATTAAAAAGGGAGGAATTAAAGGATTAAGCAAGGATGATGATCTCAAGCAAGTTAACAAGTAATGTTAAAGGAGTTTAAGACCTAAGGAGAAAAGGATTGGAAAGTAAAAGTAAGTGAAAAGGGCAAAAAGGTCATTTTTCCAATTATTAAGGATCTTTCCAAATTTTTAGTTCTTTATCTAGAAGGAATTTCAAGATGGCCAAGAAGGGAAGAATGATCAACATGAGATGAAGGATTTTTAGAAAATTGTGGATTTTCAGGAAAATAATATTAAAATATTCGAAAAGTGAAAAAATACCATAATACCCCTAGAAGAATGGATAATTAAGAAAATGCCCCTCTGATCAAAATCAGAGCATCTACCGTGACCATCTGAGCAAAATCTCTTGAAACTCAAATGTCAGCCGTTGGATCTTCCCCAAAATTGGATATGATCTAGAAGATGGACAAATCATCACATCCAACGGCTAGGATTAAAAACCAAAGACGGTGAGTCTCTGATCGGAGTAGATATTTCCGACAGATTTTTCAAAAAATTCAACCGACAATTCATGACGATTCTGGAGTTTCCAATGTCGGTTTAAGTTTCCCCTATAAATTCTGAAGTTGGGGCAATCGTTTGGAAGAAGAATCGAGCAAGTTCGAGCTCCTAGTCGTTGGCAATAAGTGTTTAGATTTTGGGTGTCCTACTCTCAGGTTTCTTCTAAATTTGAGAGCAATTCTCCACCATTTCCTTTCAAACTTGTTCCTATAGCTTCTAAACAAGATTACCCACAAGTTCTATGATGGAATGGAGAGCTGAAACGTCGTAGAACAAGATACCCAAGAGATCGAAAATCGGAGGTGTCGGGTAACTTGCAAACCGAGAGTGGTTTCTCAAAATTAAGATCCCACACTCAAAGTAGTTCCTCCAAACCAATTCTTTTATCTTGAAGGAAGAATAAGGAAGAGGTTTCGTGAAGAAATCGAGCTTCGAAAACCCCTAGAATCGGCTACCCAATAAGAAATCCTCTGTTTTTTTACTCCAGCGAGAAATCATATTTTGGACGAACTTTGGAGGCAAATATCTTGGGCTACGATCCAAGAAAAGACACAATAAAGAGTCTGTGAAAGGAAAGTTGAAGTAATTCGAGTACCAGAAGCTCAAGAAAAGAGGTCCCGAATGTCGACAACGAGGTAAGTAGCCACCTTGGACTTTTTGTTAAGAAATACTTGTAGGAATCGCTTGGATTTCCATATGAACCCTAAACCAAGTATGAAATTAGAATATATGAAAGAAAAACCCTAGGAACCGTAAGTTAAGACCTTGAACCGAACAAATCGCTCGGGATTTAGGTAACGTTAAAATAACCCACTAGATGAACTCTGCTGCCTATGAAATTTTAATGCTGAGGATACCATAGCACGTTGAGGTTATATATGAAGTTTGGTAGTCTTTGGATAAGAATAAGTAGGTAAACCAAGAAACGGTGCAAAATGACCATAATGCCGC